ATAGAAGCACCAGTGATATCGCGGTGCGATCCTCCCGATCCATCGATCCGCTCGAACGATCCACGAGTTGTACGTTTTTCTTTTTTTTTTTTTTTTTTTTCCGATCCGTTTCGTTTCCTTCACTCGTTTCGGACGAGACTTGGACGAGTTCGAAAGCAACAGTGGAGATACGATATATACCGTATTATACGTACTCTCGATGGTTAATGATAAAATAAAAATAATAATTAAAAAAAAAAGGAAGGAAGGAAAGGTAAATCGCGTGAGAGAGGAACATCGCAGACAGCAAAGAATCCAACAGAAAACAAGAAAAAAAAAAAAAAATCGAAAAAAAAGATGAGTCCTCGACCCCACCCACAGACCCCCGCCCCTTTCATACAATAGGAAATAGTTAAACGCGAAATAGCGATGATAAAACAATTATGAAATAGAATTATTGTGTTCGCGAGCTCTGTCGAGGCGAGGGCCTCCTCGTCGAAGCAACGCGCGGGCTCCATTTTATTTTTCGCGATTTCCGCTCGTTGCTCCTCGCCGGAGGCCCTCCCTTCTGAATGTATATAGTGTGAAGTAGCTGGAATTCCTGATTTCTCGACGATCCCTTCTCCCTCTCGTTCGGGCCCCTCGCCCCTGGATCCACGCGGAACGAACCTCGTCGATCGATTTTCTCTTCCGACACGCCGTTTTTCTTATCAACATTATATAGGCAATTAAAGTATCGTACACCGTTAAGAATTATCCTGATATCGTGCCTCGAGATCCCGTCGATCGGACACAAATGGCGAGCGGGGCGGGTACCGCGACGATTCCTCCGCGCGCTCATCTCCGTTCGCCAAAATGGACGGCGGTGGTAACGAAGCGACGAGGGTCGAATTGGTATTCGCGATCGCTCGCCGATTTTGTTAACTAACAAGCGTCACTGCCAACCATCGTAAATCACCTCGACAGCAATAAAAGAGTGTTTCCGTGTCCGAAAGACGGGGGTTCTCGTATTGCGACTTATACCTAAATAAAGAAGCGTTATAATTGTACGTAGAACTGTAAAGATGGGATTAGTGCGCGAATTATTCGTTAGGAATGGAACGGAAGAGAAGACAACGAGGCTCGAAACGTGGTCGGGAAGAGTCGTAGCCCGGAGATTTCTTTTTCTGTTGTGTCCATCGTCGGAGAGGCGGAAGTGATCGGCGAGAAATGAGGAACGATGGTCGTCAGAGCCGACAACCTGTTATATATCATCGCGTTGCATTGCCCGAGAACGTCACGAGGACGGCCGAAGAGTATAGAGAGACAGAACGACGAACGAATCGCGAAAAGCTGGAATTCGGGGCGCAAACGTTTGCTGGAGCAAAGGATAAATGGCGTCGCTGTGGTTCGTTCTTAGGCGACTCCGTGACTCTTCTCGGGCTCGGTAAGCGATGATTTGTTATTATGCCGAAATCTGTTAGTTTTTTGTCCTACATATTAGCGTTAAAATAGAATGGGAATAGTAGAAATACCGTTGTGTTGTTTTTTGTCTCTTCTTTTTTTTTCTTTTTTTTTCTTTTTCTTTTTTTTCTACGAGAACGATAAAGTAAAGTAAAGGTAATTAAGAATCGACGATTTTTTCATCATCATGGGTAAATAATATAAACGCGGATGATTTACGGAAACGTGTAAGGAGAAAACCGAGGAAAAAACATGTTTGGTAATAAAAGGGATGAAAAGAAAGGAAAATGAATTTTGGAAAATGTAAACGAGAAAATTACGAAAACGAAACGACTTTAATGGGTATGTTAATTCGATTCGCGCAAATGGCTGAAAAGATACAGGAAAAATCGGGCGAGACGCCGATGTACGCGCGTCTTTTTTCATTTTGTAACGCTCACGCGCCAGCTAACGTCGCTTTTCTTTTTGGAACGAACGCGCGAGCAAACGTCCTGTTTTGTTCGTGCCGTCGAAATTCGGGAGAAAGGAAAATTCGAGGTGAAAAGTCGCGCTTTTGGTCTGCTTGCTTTTCGCGGAAGGAAAAGGGGAAACAAAAATTCGCATTCGCTTCCTTTCCTTCGTCTCGCGGCAAAATTTCTCGTTCTTTGATTATTACTATTATTAATACTACTACTACTACTACTACTACTACTACTACTACTATTACGCTACTGCTACTGCTACTTTACTACTACTCTACTACTATTACGGCCGCCGTTATTATTCGTATCGTTATTATTCTTATTCTATATTATCGATTAAAAAATAATCACAGAGAACGAAGAGCAAGAAAAGTGAATGTCGAAGCGCGCGCGTGAGCGAAGGGATGCACCGTGATCATCAACGAGCGGACACGCTCGACGAGAACAATTCCTCACAAATAAAAGAGATAAAACGTAACTAAAATAAAATAAACTAAAGTAATATTATAGATGAGAGTGAGAGGGAGAGAGAGAAAGTGAGCGAGAGAGCGAGAGAGAGAAAGGGAGTAATAATGGTGAATTGAAGGGAAAAAGAACACACTCACACACAAGCGAACGATAAACTCAGCGAGACCGATTTACTTAATCGCAAAAATTTTATTAACTGTGTAACTTTAAAAATAAAAGTCTATTTGAATGTAAGCGCGTTAAACAAGGAAAAGGAAGGCTATTAAGGAGAACGGTATATGAATATTATTATTATTATTATAAAACGAGTGAACTTAAAAGGGAAATGTCAAAAAGTGGAAGAGAAAAAGAAAGAAAAAGAAAGAAAAAGAAGAAAACGAAACAAAAAGAAATAATAAATCAGAGACACGCTTTCACGAGTAGATTTTTCAAGGAGACAAAAGGATTTTCTTCATTCGTTTTTTCTTTCTTTCTTTTTCAGTTTGATCACACACACACACACACACACACACACACACACACAGATATACTTATACGTTTAGATGCTGTAAACAAACTGAAGATAAACTCAGGAACATGGGAAACAGGAAAGAGGAATATGCTCTTCGAGTTCAGGGAAAATAGCTTAAACGCGTGTTTCGCGTGACACGAAATCTGAAAACAGAGAAACAGCTTGGAGTCCGGAAAAAAAGAGCGAAGAGTAGCCAGTGCAAAATCTCGCTGTTTTATCTGAGACGATATTTCCAGTTCGCGAATATCCGGGGATAAACGTTCGAAAAGTTGAAAAGAAAAAGATAGGAAAAGACAGAATCGATCACCGTTGTCCGCTTTAAAATTCTTTGAAATCCCTTGAAATTCCTTGAAGTTCCTTGAAATTCTCTTCTTTCCATTCCTTCATTCGCAATTACCGATTTCTAAAACAGTTCCTATGGTCCGAAAATCCGATTTCCACGAAGAAAGAAAAATAGACGACGATAAGATAGCCACTGATGATTACGGTCCTATGAAGAAACAGACTCGATTATGTTCCTCTTTTTATTTCCATTTCCGTATTATTATTTTTATTATTTCTTTTTTTTTGCAACCTACACAACCACGAACGATCCTTTCCCTCGTTTTCCTTCGTTCGTTGGAACACTTGCCGACGATATCGTCGGAAGAACGATCCACGCGAGATCTTTCATCGGTCGTTCCACGCTTTCCACCTTACGACCCAAAATCTTCACCTCCCATCTTGAATTTCTTGTTCGTCCTCCCTCGTTTTTCCAGCCCTCGCCTTCGTATTCCGCTATCTCTCTGTCTTTCTCTTGGTCCACGGACGGAAAAGCAAAACGACGAAAAAAGGGAAAAGAGAAAGGAAAATAAAAGAAACGAACAAAGAAAAGAAAAAACGAACAAATTCGCACTCAGAGCTATTTTTTTCCCCTCCGCAAACTATGTAACATAGTCGAGGCAAGTTTTCTTTTTATCACTCATGTGTATTCCGGGCAGTGAAAGAACAGGAAAAGTAAATAGGGAAAAAATAGGAAGACATTTGTCTCTTTCGGGTTGAACATTTTTTACATGCACACACACGCATAACACACGAGACAAGGAAATAACAAGAAAATCAATCTATAATGAATTTATGTGTAACATTCAATTGAGGATTGTATGTAATTGTATATATATATATATGAGTACAATGCAGTCCATGAGTTAAGATACATTCTCCTTTTTCTACCATGAAAAAATAAATTATTCTAGTTAAAAAAAAAAAAAAAAGAAAAAAAAAGAAAAAAGAAAAAAAAAATATGGTGTGCGTTAGTGTCTCTTTTTTTTCTTTGATGCCAATCTTCCCGATGATCATCCACAGGAACGACTTTTATTTAACGTCGCGGACGCCCATACACTGTGTAAACGAATTTTATTGTTGTGATGTGAAAATAAACGTTTCAGAAATTCAGAGGCTTTTCCTGAAATAAACCGTAAAATCGCGTTAGCCTATAAACGTACGTACGCATATCTTTCGATTTCTCACGCTTCGTTCGTCCGAGAGGAATATTATTCTTTGCCTGTCCCACATTTCTCCAGAATTTTTGCTACTTCTCGAAATTCGCAGATATAATCGCGCGTCTATCAAAGTAAATTCCGAAAACGCGTGCTACAATCGGGAAACGCGAATCCTTTTGATTCGTCGGTTAAGATTTCGAAGAAGTTCCTTGAAAAAGGGGGAAACGACGACGATCTATCGATCCGGGATCGAGGTTTCGTTCTACTAACGCGTTACGACATACTTAACTCTAATACGCATATGTACATGTATATTACTCGAGATCGCAGTTAGACTTAGCAGAGTCACGTTAGAATTTACAATACCCATAGGAAAGAATTGACTAGACTTTAAGTAAGTTTTAATACTTTTCAAAAGCGATTCCATCGACCCCCGGTTTCTACGAACGACCTTCCTTATCGACGGAAAGGCAGTCGTCGTATCAGCACGACTCGTGGCGTAATTCTGGAAGTGAGAATTAAAAACAGAGGACACCTAAGTCGCGATCAGTGAAAACGATCGTTCTTCCAGAAAAAATGCAACTGTCTTTGGAATAACTGTTGGTATAAATCGGCTGCTTGCCTGAGAAGTACCATATCGACCGAGTCGAATTGGCGTTATGTCGGCCTGAGTGCACTGACCATGTCGCCCAGTAATCGTTCCACGCTAACATCCCCTACTGTCGGCTTGAACAGCAATTCCTGCAGGGTTGATCGACAGAGTGCGCGCGCAGGTGGTAATAGCAGCAAAAGTCGTCCAACCCTTCGTGCATCCCTTTCGCAAAATACAGCTACCGTCTGCTCTTGCAGTGCTGTTACCCGCCCTGGTTCGCATAAGCCCCGTGATTCTGTATAATCAAATCAATTTCACGCAATCTTTATATTCCTTAAATTACAGCCTATTATTCCAACTAATTAATAGAATACGTTTCCTTTTTCTCACTGTACATCGAAAGTTGCATTTTACCTCCTTTGAAAAGAACTATAGCCTTGAGACAAGCATACTCCGAATGATCGACCCTCAGAAGAGTACATTTTGCCAATAGATCCCTCAATTTTCTCACTTCATCCACGAGCGTTTCTTTCCTTTCCGATGATAAATCGTTCGGTACCAGAGTCGCTTCCTCGACTGGGAAGTTCCACTGCGCGGCTGTCAGGACGAAAAGCTCGCTCCAAGATTCCTCCAGTAGTATAGTCTGGTCCCTGTAGGGTAGCTTGAAACAGATGATCAAAGATTCGTATACGATATTACGTTAGTAATTTACAGTAGAACTGTACCGTTATCTACAGTCAAAGGAAAATTAGTACGTACGATATCTTTGCTATGTACAGAAAGCTACTAGGGAATTGAATTACTTGTAAGAACGAGTGGATACTTCTCGCCCATCTGACAGCAAAGAAGAGTAACTTCGCAGCGAATTCGTAGATGTTCTCCGTAGGCAGAATAGAAAAGCTAGACATGTATTCCGTGGATCCAGGGTTCGTGATAGACGCTAACCGAGTGCTTGCGAGTTCCTCTGCGAGACAGACGAATATTATAAATAAAATAACGAGGTGTTATTTCTTCAAGTAGAAGTAAAGTAAAAGTACCCTTCGGTTCGATCCTCGTATCGATTGACCCAGCTTCCTCGGAACTCGTCACTTCGTCCTCTTTGGCAGTGTTCACTGTCAACGGTTCCGCAGTTGAACGTGGTAAAAAGTGTGCTGAAAATGAAAAATTCATCTCAGTGATATCGCGAAAACGATGGTAAGCGATTTAATGTGAAATTTGATACAGGTCGAGCTATTAAGGAGAGATGAAAAATTAAAAGGAAGTTAATTGCAAGATCAGTTTATACGTATTTAAAAGACTAGGATGTTTCCCTTACCGACCGATGGCGTAAAGGCCGACATTGTCGGCTTGAAGGGAAATAACGCAGGATACAGAAGGGGATGGTAAGGGTTGCTCGCTGCGTGGTAAACGTGCGAGATTCCAGGATACAATCCCGAAGGACCTCTTCTCGCGGCTGCGACCAGGGACGACGTATTTCGTGGAGCTCTTTCGTGTTGCACCGCTGTGAGTATCATAGTTTCTTAGTATTTCACATTCAGTTATGCATTCGTAGACAAATAGATAATTTCATTGCCAATGAAATATTACAATTACCACGGCTTAAGAATAAATTAACATAAATAAAAAACGAACGTTTCACAGATTTGCATAGATTTTACAATCGAACTTTGTGTACTATCGAAATCATCGTTGTGATATTAATTTAATAATTAAATTACCTGAAATAATTATACAAAAGGACAATAATCGTGCATTTTAAGTATGACCAAATGAATCTAAACGACCAGTGTCAGATATTTTATTTTCGACTACTGAAAACATTCAGATGTTTTTGACAAAATTGATATCGACTTTTATTCGGACAGAAACGTGATTGAAATGATCGAATATATATCATTATCCTTTATCGTGTAATATGTTTAGCTACCTCTTACAAGTTGCTAGTTTTGCTATTACTGCTCGTACCGGCTCGATAAAAATATTACAATTATTCGAATTCGTTAAAAAATAAACTAAATAAAATAAATAAACTTGCAATAATCACAAACTTCCATTAAAAAATCACAGTAGAATAGAAAGAACAAAGATCAGGTAGTACAGATGCGAACTTCACGAAGAAAAGAATTTCTCCAAAAAAAGGGATACAGGTAAACAATTGATCTTCCCCGACGAATTAACCCCTGTTTAAATTCAAACATCCCCCGCTCGCAGATGTTTCTGTATCGGAAGATTCTCCAATGACCCAGCACAGACCTCTAATGGCACCTTTCGTGAGCACCCTCGCTAATTGATATCTCCGCGCAATCAAGTGTTTGGATTATCGGACCGGGTTGGAAGTGTTTACAAAACCTGTGAACGTCAGGCTGCTCGTGACACTGCTCGTGTCGAGGCTAACTTTCCGGATTCTGGCGTGAGCAAGCACGAATATAGAATTTCATGTGGGTGCGAGCACCCTTTTTTTCTCCACTCGCCACCCCTTCGAACGGCTTCTCTATTTCTTTGTCGGGGAACGGAACGTCTCCATGCATTGTAATATCCTGGATGTTGGCTACGAGTGCTCGTGTATTTGCGCGAATACGTGGCTCCAAAAATGGGGAACGTATCGGTTCCTGTCATCCGCAAGAATTCTGACAAATGAGACGTCGTCGAACCTCGGGGAAGATAACTTTGCAGAAAATTCTCCTTTCAATCATGACGAATTTAAACTCGGTACTTTTTCAGAGATTGTCGGAAATGGTGGATATATTTTGGAACCACTGACATAACGTGCAATAAGGTATTTAATCGTTAACTGTTCCCCAATTTTATGTAGGTTTAATTTAGATGCATCCCATGTATCTTTAAGATAACGTGATTTTTTGAAACAGGAGCAGCACAAGTACCTTTACTGTGACTGCAACTGTTTCAATGGAATTTTTGTTAACGTTAACCGTTTCTCCCAATCCATAAATTTTTTCTGATGACCCATTCATTTCAAGCACAGTGTATTGTATCTTTTATCGGTTAACAACAACTTTAGATGATTATCTATCTTACTATTTTTCTTGTTATCGAAGGGTTATTACCCGTTAAGATAAATAAATGAATAAGTAAAGAGATAGTTGCTTATTGCACGAATGGAATAATTTCTTTTTAATATTAACCCTTTGCACTCGGGAGGCTACTCTCAGTCGCCATTTAATCAGATTCTAAAGATCGATGTTAATTAATATACCAAATTTAAAATTATCCAACGATGAGTGGAATATCAAAATAAAATAATTCTGCGTCTTAATTTGCGTACGATTTCTCATTTACCGTTTTAAAAATATCGTCGATTTTATGACAGAAAGTTTTCGTAATTACTATTTATCTGCAATGAAAAATTCGCCGAGTGCAAGGGATTAATAAAGGGATTAGGAAATATACGAATTGATCAGCGAATTATAAATACCCTGAAATTTTGAGAGTAATTTCATTTTGCTTGTTCGCGTAATTTATTGAATCTACAAACTCTCGGTATTTATTAAATCTACGAAAGCTAATAGATGTAATTTTGTTTCGTTAGTTTGTATTTCATTCGGATTTAAGGTTATGTTTTATCAAATTTGTTATAAGTAAAGAATAAAAGCGTAATCACCGTTGAAACGAAGCGTACCATCTCGTTTCATGTTGACCTGAAGGCACTTGGTAAATCGACATGCCTGGCACTGATTACGTCGAGAAACGTCCACGATACAACGACCATTTTCCTTGCAAACGTAATCGAGGTTCCTGTACAGTGGAATCGGGAATTATTTCAACTTGGCTACGATTAAATTCCATCATTGGATAAAGCAGCAGCATGAAGCAAAGAGCACGTCGGTTATAAATATCGTCAACGATATTATGGACAGGATATTTTTTTGAAATTAAATATAAATTCCAGTTTTATTTTCAACGCGAATTGACGAGCTACCGATTTACTTCGTACCGTTCCACGAATGAATTATAAGGAATTTTAATAACTTAATCGCACTTGATCGAGCAATTTAATTTCTTGTTCGTTTTGGTAACTTCATCGGTGCAGTTACTTCGGAAACGACTGCAAATTAATTACCTTGCGTACCTGCGGATCGACCGCTTAAAGAAGCCGCGGCATCCGTCGCAGCTCGGTACTCCGTAATGCTTGCCAGATGCTTTGTCGCCGCAAACTTTGCACAAACTTTCGCCGCGGCTGTTGTCCTCCATTTTCTCCTGGAACCTAGACATCGAAGCGCAATTAGAAGAAAGTTCGGTCAGCAAATGAAATGTTACGTTTCTAGATTTCAGAGAGTTCAATAATTAAATAACTCTTCGTCCAGAAAAATAAATCCGTTTTCAAAATATTCGTAACGTATCCAGCTGTGAAATCGTTTCTTTATATTTTATCTCACGAGCATTCGAAGCCATTGCTTTCTCGCAGCTCGTATTAAATTGAACTCGCAATTTTTCGGAATATATTTCGATCATCGATTTATTTAGCCAGGTACAGCGATATTTCGCTGTTTCGCGTGAAATTGTAATAACAGTTTTGCCTTTGCACAGGTCAAGTCGCACGCCATTATCCGTCATTTTCAGTGGTGCAATAACGTAATGCTCGTCGTGGTTATCGTGTCTCTTTCCGCAATGTCTCGTTCAATGGAGGAAGTTATAGTCACCGAGCGACGGGTCGTTGCATATTGCAACGTATAATGAGAAGTTCAACGATTGTTAAACATCGTTCGCCGATGTCATGATTCGATTCTATCAATGCTCACGATATTACTTCGTTACTTGTACTAAAATACGTATAATTGCCACTGACAATTTACGTAAAGCTTAAAAAGTCAAAAATTTGACTGCTCTAAAATCGTATTACCGATGGACCAAAACGTGTATCAAGGTTGCTTAACGATGAGTGAAAAAAATACTAGAGTAAGAGATACAACGTCGTCTAATAGGTTTAGAGTTTCAAATTCTTCTTCCAAAGAAGAGATAAAAAGATAATCATGATTATTTACGTACAAATGAAACGTGCGTGTACCAAAAAAAGAGGAAAAATATTTAGAAAGCAACGTTTCCATAAAACCTCAACCCCTCTGGACATAACTGTTAAATACGAAACGAAATACTAGCAAGGAAAACGAAAACGTTCGTCGCTGAACAGAAGTCAGAAAGTGGAAGAAAAATTCGAGGTCAAGCTAAAGTATCCCTAATGTTTCTGTTGACTTTTGCAACCCCTTTCCCGGCGTGGCACACGCTTGTTCTCCACCTCTCCGTTCTCCATGTCCTTTTCACCAGCGAGAGCTCCCTCTTTGTTGAGGCCCTGGGGGCGCCTCCACCACGGTCTTCCTCGTTCTAACAGCACGCCGGGCCACCTGTAGGGTTCCCAGACTCAATAATGCATCGGTGACGTGGAGCATCGCTCAGGCTCGTCGGTGGTAAATCACCGAGAGAGTCCTGGTGGATGATGCCACGGTTCGCCGCACCCTTCGTCCGGAAGACCAGTTTCACCGACACCGTCATTACCGTCGCCGCCATCAACCCTCAAAGAGGAGAGATCTCTTGCCTGACTTCTTAATAGCCCGCCCATAGACAGAATGTAGAGGATGGTGGTCGTCGCATGTGAGCGTCACATTTATTTATCGATATTTTTAACATAATATTTTTATTGCTCGATGACTACCTTCGCCACGCATATGACGGAAGCGTTTATATTCCCGGTACCATCTAATTCGCGATTTTTCACTGCGACATTTTCTCGTGACGCAATACGTTTATGCTTGTCGCGCGTAACTATTTAACTCCTCACCTTACTATTTAAGTTCCTATGGCGTATGCCATAGTCAACAGTAACATCGAGATATGTCTAGACAGGTTGGATCCACTCGATCCAAACGTGGCAGAGATAACGCACAACTGAGACACAAGGACATCGACAAAAATGTACCAGGAACTTGGTTCGTACATCTTTACGTTGGATGCTATCTATGAACCACGTCTCTCGCTCGTGATACTCGTGTTTGGCCCGATCCCGTACCACGTGTCTCGCCTGTTATCGTAGAGAAAGGTGTCGAGGACCACCATAGGACAAAGGTTTCGAACTTTGACTCGACGACTGGAGAGATTTTGAAATATTCCAAAGTTCTCATCGCGCATAGGGGTTTACTATTTTCTAGTAATTATACATTTCGATAACCGAAAGAATTGTGGGTTCCAAGAAATATTTCCGAAAATGCTCGCTTGGAGAAGTCGAGATTGAATCGGTTCGTGCAGTAATATCGCGTGAATTTTGCACAACGTCGACGTGGAATGAGAACATTGGGTGTTCATAATTAGCCAGAAGTCGAATATCGTAGTTGAACCTTTGGTTTGCCGGTGTGCAGTTACACATGGGCGGATTATTTAACCCCGTTTGCACGAACACCTATCGCGTTTACGCACGCACGTAACATATGTCGCGTTCATTATATGGACACGAGCAGCCTGGTACTCGATTCGACCACGACAAGTGAAACTTCGTCTGCCATTCCCTATTGAGGCAAATGATCAATTTATGCGAAATTCGCGTGGAAAGTTACCTCGAAGAAATAGGTATCGGACTACTTCCTTTCTTTAAATATTATCTTCCTTTGCAAACGTGAACGAGTTTGTAGTAGGCAATTGAGACCACGGGTGGATACTGTGGCGTTATTTCTTGAAAGCGATTTAATACAGACTCATCGATCATACGAAGTTTGATAAGCTTGTCACAGTTGCGGTGCAACCTGGCTTAATGTCAGCTCGATGACTTTTCGATAGTTCTGCCTGGTGCAAGGTGACGAAAGTTCGTCGTGGGTCCGCTGGAAATTCGACAGGATCCTATGCAAATTTTTTTCGTCGTCACGTCACGTGCGTCCTTTCGCATAAAAAATGCTGATGGATGGAGCACGGGAAGAAGCTATCATCCTTTCGCACGGTGTTCTATGAAATACCCTTTCTCTTACCGAAGTGAAATAATTCCTTTCCAATTTTTCTTTCTTCCTTTACCGATTTTTAATTTACATTTCATCAGAGAATTTCCGGATTTTCGTAGAAAGTCACGAGCATTGCAGTTCATTATTAAATCTAGATCGTATAATTTACGATCCAGCTAAAGGAACAAGAATAAATCATGTCGATATCGTGCATTGTTCGAGTATAATGGAAGATTTGAAAGGGGGTTCATTGAGAAAAAAAGCACGTGGCGTTAAATATTCTTTTTAAGCCGGCATAAGGCTTGTCATACCTTGCTGAGTAACTTTCACCTGGACCCTTCACTCGCGTTACCAAAATCCACGATTTGCCATGACGAAAGCACAGTTTCGTCCTCCCCTGTTCGCGTTACAATAAATATCTCGTAATCGGTGATTTCTAATTAAAGATAATTTTACGGTTCCCTCGGTGTTCCGGTATTTCTAACAAGCATTTAATTACAGAAACTCGTCCATGAATTTCCGGCGTGGCGGCTCATTTTTCTTCCACCCCTGTCCGGGTTTTCATCAATTTTTCAGCAGTTCTACGTAAACATTGTCGTTAGCCTGTGTCGCCCCTGACGTGACTTCTGTTGTCCGAAAGGGTCGACGGTAATTAGAAGCGTCTGAATAATTAATCGTCACGCTGCAATTGTAATGATAACGTCACTCGCGTTACGCCAGTTCATTCGTCAATTTTCTATCGTCCAATGTTCTCCTTCTACGTCACAGAAATTGTGGTACAAATGTAATGGTATTCGGATATAGAAGATTAATTACTACTATTTGGAGAACATTCATCGAAGTATTGACACGATAATGGGAAATACCATTGCAGTTTTTAGAATTTATATTATTAACATGCTAGGATTATATTAATGTATCATTACATTAATATAATATTGCAAAATGATATTGTTATTGTCTTAAGGAGCATATGTACTTATTGTTAGATCGTCTGGTCTATATAGTCATATAGTAATGCAATAATAAAGTAAAGTAATGTAACAATGGGAAATACTATTACAGTTTTTGGAATTTATGTTATTAACCCTTTGCACTCGGCGATCTTTTCGTTACAGGAAAATAATGATTCGAAGACTTTCTGCCATAAAGTCGACGATATTTCTCAAACAGTAAATAAGAAATCGTATGCAAATTAAGACGTAGAATTATTTTATTTCGATATTCCGAGCATCGTTGAATAATTGTGAATTTGATTTATTAATTAACATCGATCTTTAGAATCTGATTAAATGACGACTAAGAGTCACCCCTCGAATGCAAAGAGTTAATATACTAGGATATTATATTAATCTACCATTACATTAATATAATATTGCAAAGCGATATTGCTATTATTTTAAGGAGCATACGTACTTATTCTACTCTCGTCAAATAATTTCGCTTCCGAGTAACAAGCACGTTTTATTTGAACGTTTTACTGTTTGGAAAAGCCAACGGGAGGTCGAATCTGACTCTTAAACTGATTTTAATTCAACGGTAAGCGTGTAGGATTAGGTTCGGTCGTGCACGTGCACGCTTCGCACGATTGACAGTGATTGCGTGTTTCGGTTGTATATGCCGTGCACCACGCTTGTGCAGCGTGTAAAGGTTCCAGGAGACCAGTGATTTCATGTAACAGATACATTC